GGAGTTAAACCACGACAGCGGGACAAATTGCAGTGTTCTCGGGACGCTTCCTCTGCTGTAGTTCAACACTTCTATTCGTAGCTCTTCAGTTGTGTCTCACACATCTTATGTAAAGTGTCTCTCGTAAATGTTCCCAATCCCGCCATCCCAACTTCCTGTTATGTCAAACGTCAGCCTGGCCAGGAACGAGGGCCCTTTACCGTAACTGACGTTTTTCCGGCCTAGGGGTTGCCAAGTTGCTGTTGGGATCACCTGGCAAGTACATGGCAGTGGTACAAAAAACGGAGCTGGGCTCCCAAAACGTTTGCTGTAGCGCTTCGGCTGCAGGATCATCCTTCCCTCTTGGCGGGGAAAGCCAAGAGAAATGAAGTTCTTCATTTCCCCCTATTTCTTGCAGCTGAGCCTGGTTCTGCTTCAGCTGGGAGGATTTGTTTCTTCACCTAAACAAGGGGCTGCTGGAGACGAGGTTCCCTGTTTCACTTCACCCTCAGCAGAAAGCATCCTGCCGAGCGGATCCTACGCACCCCCTGTGCAAAGCTCCGTGCCTTGTTTCCTTCCCACGTGGCTACCTGGGAAGATGGCACAGGCTCTGCCCCTTTGGGAGCGGGACTGCTCCGTGTTGCACGCCGGCCGATTGTTGTAGGGAGAGATTGTACTGTCCCAGGCCACGACGAGTTCTTTAAGGTTGCCGTAAGCGTTGCTTGAGGCCCGCCCGGGGGATAGTGCGATTCCAGAGCGGCATCAGTAGCAGAGCCGGTGTGTCTTTAAGTGAATGGTGCCAGTGGGAATGGCACGTTAGGCAGGGCAGCTGCAGGCTCGGCCTGAAACACGACCACCCTTGAAACCCTATCTCTACTCCGCGGGCCCACGCGGCCTGACTTCATGCTGCGGACGTGCCGGTTGTGCCAGTGCCTGAAATGTAACCGCTTCCTGGCAGCGGGGCAGATCCTGTCTCTGCGCCCGATCCCGAGTTACCTGAGGGAGGGGAGAGGTTGCGTTTGCACATCGTTTCTGTAGGTGACCGCCAAGGACTGAACTCAGTGGGTCCCTCTCGTGTCTGTCTCCCGGGTTACCCGGGTGACAAGTGTTTGCTTTCCCCTTCGTGCTAAAGGAGGGTCTGGGGGGTTCCAAATAGCTGTAAAAACTGAAACGCTGAGGTGGCGTTTCCCAAGGATGCTTCCCAACAGAGCCTCTTATCCGGGCGGTGGGAGAACCCTCCCGCCACTAGGATTACCCCGTGAAACACGCTTCCACGGGTTACACTCCTGTGGTTTTACGCCGGAGAGCCGCTGCGATAGGTGCCGATGGCTGATTTGCTCTGGCTTTATCCCTCGCGCCGTGCGCAGCTTCACCTCGTGGCCCTTGCTCTGAAACGCCCCGTGAGTTGGAGCTGCAAGGGGAGGCAGCGCCGGGGAAGCGTTTCCCAAGAACCGACCCCTCTCCTTTTGCGAAGTCCCTGCCGTGGCCACCAGCCCCAGTGGGAGAAGGGGGTGACCTTTTTCCTTTTTTGTGCCGGGTGAAAGGCACCGTCCTGCAGGAGTGCGGAGCGGCGCGGAGCCCCGCGCGTGGCTGGAGCTCGCTGCGATAAGCTGGCTGTTTTCCCCTCTCCTTTCCCCTCCTGGCGCTGCGCTGGGCTTATCTGGGCGCCTGAGTTATGTTAAGTAGCGGGTGCGTGCCTGCTCTCTGTTCTCCTCGCTGCTTTTGCTCCTTGGATTTCAATTCCAAACATGGTTATCCATTTGGGGTCTCTCTCCTTTCCGCTGCCAAGTGATACACATTCCATATTCAACACCAGCTCCCTCCGCTGCTCTCTCGCCGTCGCTATTTCCAGTGCCGCGGGGCTGGCGAGAGGCAGCGCAACGCGATCTCTGTCCCGTCGGCGAGTTTTCCAGCTAATGGCCTCTACGCTTTCTTTGTCCGAGCTCTTTTGGCCTCGTACTCACCAGCGCCCTTCCTCACCGGTGAGGCTAAGGAGGGGGCCGGCCGCCAGTTTGTGAGCCGCGAAGAGGAGAAACGAGCCCGCTGGGAGGGTTTTTTTTCAGGTGCAAAAACATCCGGCGGCACTTCAACATGTTGCTCTGAGGCGCTGGAGAGGAGGAAGAGGAGGAGGAACGGCTCACCAGCAGCTCTGGTTTCAGACCTCTGCGGCACCCTTTGTGTATGACAATTCGTTTTGAGCGTGGGAGGGTGGGGAGTGGGGAAGGATGAGCGCAAGCGGCCTCTCTTGGGACCAGGCTGTTCTCCAGCCTCCGGTGTGCGATGCCTGGAAGGAGATTATGGAGGGAGCAGCCTACCAGCTGGCCAGCTGCATCGTCCTCCTGGGTTACATGGGGGGAAGTGGCATCTTTGGGTCCCTCTATATCTTTGGCCTCCTGGCCCCAGGATACTTCTGCTATGCTCTGTGGGGCTGGCTGAGCGCCTGCGGGCTGGACGTCTTCGCCTGGAACATGCTGCTCGTCCTCGCCTGCTTGCTCCAGCTGGCTCACCTGGCTTACCGGCTCCGCAGAAACACCATCCCGGCAGAGTTCGACCTCCTCTACAAGACCATGTACCTGCCCTTGCAGGTGCCTCTGGAAGTCTACAAAGAAATCGTGAAGTGCTGCGAAGAGCAAGTCCAGTCGCTGGTCAGAGACCAGAATTACGCGGTGGAGGGCAAGACGCCCATCGACCGCCTCTCGCTGTTGCTGTCTGGCAGGTAAAGGCTCTCCCGTTTCGCACCAAGTCTGACAGCGGTTCGCTGTTGTATTTTCCCCCCTGTAGAAAGTTTCCTTCCTCTGAAAGAGCTTTGAGATATGCATCTGTTTGCTGGGGGCGTGTCTGTGTAATTTGCTTTTAGGGATTGTTTTTGTTTTCTTTAGGTTTTTAAAATATTTCAAGGGGCGGTTGGCAGAATCCCATCAGCGTGCGGCGCTCGGCGTTGTACTGTTGGGGAACCCTTAGCTCTTTCTCTGAGGTTTAAAGCGGCCGTAGTTCCCACGGGAGCAGAGTGGCTGTGAGAGGGTGCGTCTCAAGGCAGGAAGGCGAGGACCTGTCTCTGGACCTGTTGTCGCTGGGGGTGCCCGACAGACCTCCGTGACGCGCGCGGAGTGGGATTCCTCGGTTCACCTCTCCCGTGGCCAGCAGTGTTCAGGGAGGGCTTCCAGCCCCGTTCCCAAGCCCTCAACCTTCAAGGCTCAGTTGTTTTTCACACTGAGGGTCGTGGCATCAAGAAGGAGCGAGCTCTGCTCTGTTGGATCCCGCCTCATCAGGCCCCTCTCTTTCCCCGTGCTCTCACGCATTTGTGATGTTCCTTCTTCCGGAGCACCAAGGAGCACCTCGGGGACCTCTAGGTGGTCGGGCTGATTGCCTGGGAAGCCATGCACGTTCGCTATTCGTTTCCTGGGGATTTGATGATCGAGTGAACTGTGCTGGTGAGGTGCTGGCATTTGTTCACCTGCGATCCTGTGGCGTGGCTCCACGGATATCCCTCAACAGTTTGCAAAACCCAAACGCCAGGCAGAGAGTAACGATATTGGCTTCCCAGCTGCTGCCAGGCACTTGGCACTGATGTCAAGTGAGAGTGGGAAGGGAGGAGATCCATAAACGGGAGCAGTGCTGAGCTGTAGGTGTGTCTCACAAGGGTTTTCCTTTGGGAAGACAAACCCAGCATCACCATCGTGGTCCATCCTCTCTGGTGGGGGTGTGTAAAGAAGAAAGGCTGTCCTTCCTTTTTCAGTGTTTGTTCCTTTTCTAGGATGTGGTAAGAGCATCCTGGGACCACTGACCAGTGCTGAATGGGAAAGCACTGGGAGGAAATGGGGTGCATGTGTTTCCATCAGGTGCCTTTCCCCTTCCCAAACGTCTGTGCGGAGCAGCTTGCTCTGAAGTTTGCCATGTCCGTGCATAACGTCAGCGGGGAAGAGCCTGTGCTGTCTTGCCGTGCCCTGGATAGTCTGCAGCTGCTTTGGGCGTGACAGCGCCGCAGCCTGCAGTAAGCTAGCGCTGGCGGGCTGCTGGTTGTGCTCCCTTTTGCAGGGGTGACTACGCATCCCGGCTGGCGTAGGATGTGGAGATGGAGATGTGCATGTCCTGGTACCCACTCTGTTGCCTTGCGAGGGCCTTGCTGACCCAGCAGAGCATTGCTACTGCTACGGTGCTCCCTCTGAAAAGACACAGGGTGAATGTGCCTGCATCAGGAAACCTGCTGTGCGATCCCTCACCCCTCCCGGCAGCGCTCCCAGCTGACTGCAGGTCGACAGCGCCCCGAGGCTTCGAACTCCTGAGTGTGAGAGTTGCCTCCGTGCACCACAGAGCAGGGGAATGCGGTGACAGGGAGGCGAGAGCCCCAGATCTGGTGGTGCAGGGCTACGAGCAGAGCTTCAGAGTGCCCTGACATTGCCCCAGGCCTGTGCAGCTCTCCTTTCCTGCTCCCACAGCCCAGCTGGGTGCAAGTTTGACCTTGACATCTGTAGGCAATTGTAGCAGAAGAAGGGGAAAGGGATACTTGGAAGGCACAGAGGCCAAGAGAGATGGAATGGTAGCATGCAGCAAACCATGAGCTCGCTGCGTGGTATGTCAGGAAAGATGGCCAGTGGGATTTTGGGGTGTTAGGGGTGTGACGGCGTCCCAGCGTCAAGGCAGGGAATGTCCTCAGCCAAGTCTGAGGACAGGACGAAAAGGAAGTACAAAGAGCCGCAGTCTGGCTTAGGAGTACCTGGAAAGCAGCAGCAGTCTTGGGGGCTGAGAAGTCCTGGTGTAGGGCCAAGCGCTGCACCTATGAGGGCTGGCTGTGGAATCAGAAACAGAAAACAGATGGAATGTGAAGAAGTGGCGGAAAATATAATTTCCCACAGAGAAAGGAGGGACAGCCCCAGAGTCTGGGGCTTTTGCAGCTGTCCCAGCGGGAGTAGGAGGCATATGTGAGGTGGGGAGAAGTCCTTCCCTCCCTGGTGGCACCGGCTGCCTGCACGCTGTGTGAGCTGACCAGGTTCGTGTGACGCCTGCTGCGTAGCCTACGCCTTGTGTGCCTCACCTTTCCTCTCCACAGGGTCCGAGTGAGCCAGGACGGCCAATTCCTTCACTACGTCTTTCCGTACCAGTTCCTGGACTCTCCAGAATGGGAGTCGCTGCGACCCTCGGAGGAAGGAACTTTCCAGGTAACCCCGCGCAGCCCCGCAGCAGCCCAGCCTCCTTCGCCGCTGCTTTGCTGCGTGCCTGAGAAGGGGGCGGAGGGGGCTCGTTAACGCCACTCAAACCCAACTGGGAATGCTTTCCTCCCGTGGGTTAGCCAACACCGGATGGTGCGATCGGCTGTCTTGTCTTTTTTCCTACCTTCCTCCAAAGACCTCAGTGCGTGCTCCTGCTCTCAGCTGAGAGCAGGGAGGGTGGAGCGGTGCCTCTTCCAGTTTAGCACGGAGACAGGTATCGGATTGCTGGCTCAATTCCCCTACAGTGCTCCCTGGTACCTCTCTCGCTGCCTCTGCCCAGCACGCTGCTAGCGGGGCGCCTCATTCCGGCATCAGGATGGCAGCCGCGGCGATACGTGACGATGATGTAAAGCCATAAATACCCCGCTCCTCACGGAAGTTTCTGATGGCGATGTGTTTGGAGTGGGGAAGCAGAAAGGATGATTCGCACCCGAATATGGTTCTTTCCAAGCAGAAGAATCCCTTGCTGAGGGGCCAGACCAATTCTTCTTCTCAGGGACTGGAAGGATTTTGCTCTTGCTGTCAACACCACAGTATTTGTTGGCTTTCCTTCTGGAGGAGATTACTTAAGCCCACATCTCTCTGCCTTTAACTCACATCCCAGGACAGGCTGATCCCTGTTGGGATGTCAGTCTAGAATATGTCAGTTAGGACACATGAGAAGGGATTTTGCTAATCCCTTGGGAGCGTGGGACAGTTAGGAGGGAATGATGATGCTTTCTCATGAGGGCAGCCACGACCAGACTTGGTTAAACCAGGGCAGCTCTCCGAATCTGCTTTCCTCGGCTCTGAATTTGGCCCACGGGTGAAAGGGTCATAGCAGTTGCTCCTGAAAGCTCTGCCGTTGCCAGTGGTCACGGTCTGGCAAGAGGAACGGTGGCAGGAGGTGGCTGACCGTGTGACTGTGGCACCAGGGCTACAGCTCGCGAGCAGAGAGAGGGACGTTGGGCCAAGACGTGTGGGGTGGAGAGAGCAACAACAGCCAGGCTGGGGTGTCTCACAGGGCTTCAGTCCGGCAGCAGCTGCCAGCTCCCAGGTTGTGTCTGTGCAGGAGTCGAGCAGAGGCTGCCCCGTGGTCCTGGTGGGAAACAGCTGCCTGGATGGCCTGCAGCCGGCAGAGACATCCGTGGAACTGAATGTTCCTGAGTGTCTTTATCTGTGGGGTGTGAGACAGCTCCGGAGAAGCTGGTGCCGGCCCCGCCAGCGCCATGCTCTTGGCCCCTCTCCTGTCCTGCGAGATAGAGTTGGCCAGGGAGGCGGCTGTGCCTGGCACAGGGATGGGAGGTGGGGAGAGGCTGCAGCCGTGCGCTGGAAGTGCCTACACCCCACGTCTGCTTCCCGAGGAGCACGGAGAAGCAGCAGCCTGTGCTGCAGGCGAGGCTTGACCAGCCCACGTTCCTGGCAGGGCATCACTCTTGGTGGCTGTGCTTAGCCCAGGGGACGTGCTGCTTCTGGCAGCCGTCTCACCCGCCAGTCCCTCTGCCCTGAGCAGTTACTAAAACAGCGGCACATCTCAACCTTATTCCCAGCATCACAATCATCTGGTTTAAAAAATCGCACGTTCTGCCCTGGGACTTCACTGGCGGAGGGCACGGAAGGTTTCTCTTGCCCAAGTTCTCCCGGCAGCTCCCTGGATTGAGCAGTTTCAGTCCTGAGCTCACCGGAGGATGGCAGGAGCCTGACTCGCTCCACAGGGAGAAGCTGCTTGCTTTGGCTGTGTCTTCTGTCCACACAACTGCTGGATCCCAGTGCCTGAAGGAGGTGGGTGCCAGGGCTGGCGCTGTCCCCCAGGGAGGCTGAATTATGGGCTTTGCCGATGCCGGAGCACTTGTGCTGGGCAGATTCGTCGGTGAAATCCATCCTGCTGCCCTGCTTAGGAGGCAGGTTTTCTTACTACATCTCACAAGAAGCAGAGAGTTTTGATTGCTGGGCCAGAAGTTGGTTAGGAAAAGGAGATTACGGTAATTTCAATTTCCATGCGACCCTTCCTCTCGCTCGCCTCGGCCTGAGAAAGTTCTCCGGTTTTCTCTCCTCTGTTTCTTTCGTAAGGCAGCTGCTTGCACGGCAGTGGCATTAAATATCAAACCCAAGGACACACACATGCAGCCAAGCCGTGTTCAGCTTCCCAGTGGCCCTCTGCCATGGTGGCTGGCCAAGGAGACCCCTGGATAGTGACTGAAAGGGAGCCCCCGGGATATTTTGGCTCTGGCACTTGTTCACATGCCAGTATCTCCATTACACTTGGATGTTCTTCTTTGGCCCAAGGTGGTTTGACCCTGTTTCTCACCTTTCATTATTATTACTATATATTACAATATATACTCATGTACTGTATGATGTTTTTTCTTATTATTAGACTGGCCTTACAGCTAGAGGGAAAAATGACTCTATTCCCATTGGCAAAACCCAGACAGAGACATGTTCTCTAAAATCCGGCCAATAAAACCTCGAGTGAGTTCCCTCCCTAAGCACAAACACCCTTTTATTTCCTCTCCCGCTGAGCTGTGCCCCATGTCCTTCAAGCTGTTTGAAGGACGTTCCGCCCTGCAACACCCAGCAGAGCTGCTGAGACAGGTTGTCCCTCTGGCTCCAGATGACCCGGGAAGCCTTCCCAGGCGGATCTTCCCGCACCCAGGGCTTTCTCAGAGCAGGGATTTTGCGACCCAGCAGCAGGACGGGCCAGCAGCCTGCCGCAGGGCTACCCGCTGGCGACTTGGGCTGGCTGGGAGTGCAGGAACGCTCCCTTCCGAAACTTTCCTGTAAGGGATGAGGCCGACCATGCTGCCCCGTTCATTTCAGCTGCAACACTCGGGTTTCAACAGGGAGCATCATCTGGCAGCGGGAGGGTGCGAGGTAGCCAGCCACAGGGCTAGCTAAGCAGGGGCATAGCACTGATTGCATGGGAAAACCTGCTCTCCGTCTCCCTGAGGAGAGGAAACAGGCGGGTAAGGATTTATCTGATCATTCTTGTGGGACAACCTGGCTTCTCCAGCCCCAGTCTCCAAGGAGAGCAGGTGTCAAAGGGCCTGGGGGCCTTCACTGGAGGGAAGCATGTAGCCCCAAGGTGACCCCTGCCCAAGCGGTGGGGCTTCCTCCGCTCCTTCTCTGTCCCACAGGTCACACTGACAGCTGAGACCGACTGCAGCTTCGTCACCTGGCCGAGGAAGAAGCTGTATCTCCTCCTGAGGAAGGACCGCTACATTGCCCGACTCTTCTCCTCCCACCTGGGCTACGACATCTCGGAGAAGCTCTACTCCCTCAATGAGAAGCTCTTCGCCAAGTTTGGCCTTCGCTTCGACATCCGC